AATCCTGAGTAGCTGGGATTACAGGCATGCACCACCACGCCCAGTTAATTTTGTATTTTTAGTAGAGACGGGGTTTCATCATGTTGGTCAGGCTGGTCTCGAACTCCTGACCTCGTGATCTGCCCGCCTCGGCCTCCCAAAGTGCTGGGATTACAGGCATGAACCACTGCGCCCAGCCTAAAAAAATTTTTTAAATTAGCCAGACATGGTGGTATGTGCCTGTAGTTCCGAATACTCGGGAGGCTGAATGAAAGCACTGCTTCGGCTCAGGAGGTCATGGCTGCAGTGAGCTGTAATCGTGCCACCGCACTTCACCCTGGGCAACGGGCAAGACCCTGTCTCAGAAAAGTAAAGTCCCCAGCTAAAAAAGAAAGGATGTTATTTTAAAAAGCGTAATTTATGAAAACACTTACCCTGACCATCCTCTTTGAACACCAGTTCTCTTTTTTCAGATTCATTCTCATTCTTACCTCTGCGTCTATTTTTACCTCCTTTACCTGATGGTTTAAAAAAAAGGACGTAAATGACATTAATTATCCGTAAAACATATGAAATAAAATGAAATTAAGGCTTATAAAACCATTTTTTAAAAGATCACTTAAATTTAAAAATTCACCTATTTCAGCTACTCAATCATATTAAATTTACAATCTCCAATCCCAACATTAACACATTATCACCTCCCTACCCTTCTTGGAATTTCCTTTGGGGATTTTTCTGACATAAAATACACATAAATAGCAGATATTATACTAAAAAACATAGAAAAACATTTCACTTTGGCATCCATCCTTTTGAAATAAAAATGCAATTCTATATATATTCTTCTAAGCGGAAATCTTGGATGCCTTCTAAAGCCAGGCCCTATGCAAGGAACCCAATACTTTGTTTTTTTTTGTTGTTGTTTTTTTTTTTTTTTTTGAGACGGAGTCTCGCTCTGTCGCCCAGGCTGGAGTGCAGTGGCGCGATCTGGGCTCACTGCAAGCTTCGCCTCCTGGGTTTACGCCATTCTCCTGCCTCAGCCTCCCGAGTAGCTGGGACTACAGGCGCCCGCCACCTCGCCCGGCTAGTTTTTTGTATTTTTAGTAGAGACGGGGTTTCACCGTGTTAGCCAGGATGGTCTCGATCTCCTGACCTCGTGATCCGCCCGCCTCGGCCTCCCAAAGTGCTGGGATTACAGACTTGAGCCACCGCGCCTGGCCTGGAACACGATACTTTGAAAATTAAGTGAAGACAGTGTCTGGACAGAGAACTATGGTTTTCAAACTTTTAGTAGCAGAGGACCATAAACATCAAAATCTCACTGGGTGCAGTGGTGTGCGCCTAGGGTCTCAGCTACTCAGGGGGCTCAGGTGGGAGGATCACTTGAGCAAGCCCAGGAGGTTCCAGGTTAGCCTGGGCAACATAGAGAGACACTGTCTCTTAAAAAATATCCGTTCAGTACCCAATTTTTTTTTATAATGCTGGTCCCTACTCAACATCCCTGTTTCTATTATATAACCCCAGTGAGCATGCTCTTAACCACTATGCAATAATTCTGCCCATTTACTTGTCACAATCACCCGATGAGGTCATAACATTCATTTATTCCCAGTTTACCCATGAGTTCCCTGAAGCTCAGAGAAGTTCAGTAACTCGCCTGGCTTCAGTGAGTGAATCAGCTCACTGATGGCAGTCAGTAAGCTGGGGTGACCAGAGTCACAATGTTTTTTTGTCCCTAGCCGCCACATTAGGTTACCTGTCCACAGCATTTTGCTTCCATTCCAGAAAGGAAACCACATTGGCAGCCATTTCCAAAAGGCAGGAAAAAGGCTGTAAGTGGTAATGACACTAAGAGACTCATGGGAAGAGCTTGGAAGCAGCAAAAAGTTCATAACCCAAATGGAATCATTAATGTGCGCCTGATCACTGCAAAGACCTCTAACTTCTTGAATCAAGTCCACTTACTCTCTCCTGGGGCAGTCTCACATTGCTCTGTGCTATTTTAGGGGGGCCTCTACAATTTCCTGACCCGCTCAGAGTCCTTAGGATTCAGTATCTGAGGCATTCTTAGGGAACACTGAAACTAATTTCCTAGAAAGAGAAAAGTATGAAGTCATTAATCATGCCAGATCTGCAAAACAGAGTGCAAGCTCCTTTAGGGCAAGATCATACCTGCTCTGTTTCCTGAGTTATATACCTGAGTTCACTAATTCTTCAAATGAATTGGTCAAGAATAGTCCATACATTCCTAACGGAGTGGTGAGTTAAAAATCATACGCAATAACTTCTTCAAAGTGTGGGAGTACTATACCCTAAATGCTTATGAGTGGGCCAAATGATACCCCTTTTCCTGATTTGAGGATGGGTTTCTAAGAATTTCTAGAATAAGTTGATATGAATCAATCCAAAGCAAAAGTCACTTAACACATAGTATGTGGCAAATTTTACCCTTACTTGTGTAACCACAGCTTATATTCACAGGGCTTCTGGATTTTCCAATGAAGAAAAACAGAACAATAAATGACTTTATTTCTACATTAGTAAAACCTATCTCAAAAAATTCAGGGGTCATGAAAAGTACCATTCCTCTAAGTAAGATAACTAAGAACTGATTGGTTTCAAGACAGTACAGGAATGATAAACACCAAACTCAGCCTGGTGATAACCCCCAAAAAGAGAGTAAAAGGTGATTAGGGCTTTACCTCAATTTGCGTTGTAATTCTTAAATTCAGAGTTTCCAGGTTCTGAGAAACCCCTGGGTTCCCAGGTCCATTATGTTAGCTGTATTTTTTGTATGCCTCAAAGATTATTTAAGAAACCATTCATTACTTGTCAACTTACCAGAATTAACCATACCCTGATCATTCCCCTTTGTATTTTATTGCCCTGTAATGGGATGTTCTTTAAATTCTCTGTTGAATGAATGAGACTAGGTCTGAGTGTACAACAATTAAAGTGACATCAACATTCTTTAAACCAGAGTTGTTTTGGAGAAATTCCCAGAGAGGCTCTTTCTTAAGACATGAGGCTAGGGAACTAGATGTGATTTAGTGTAGAAGTCCTATCCCCTTGGAACCAAAGCAGAACCTATTATTCACCTAAGGGTGGAGTTGACAGGAGGAAGGTGACTTAAACCAACAAATATTTATTGAGCATCTACTAAGTGGCAAGTGCTAGCAATCGAATGTGATTAAGACAGATACTATTCCTGCCTTTTAGAGCTTACAGCCTGGTGGAAGAACTGAAAATCTTATTACTAGAAATAAAGGTGAGAATAAGATGGAAGTGATCCCCTTACCATCTCAGAGAGAATAAAGGATTATACAGAAGAAAACCTAAGACTTAAAAAATTTTTTGTTTATAACTCGATCTTTTCCAAAATAATGAGCAGTGAAAATCCTTGCTACAAAAAGTTTGATCTCCGAGGGCAGCAAGGTGGAGAGCCCCCGAGAGGACTGCACCAACTTGTGCACAGAACACCTTGACCAAGTACCCTAAGGGATAAAGTATAAGTGACAGCTACAAAGAGGAAATGTGGTAGAATTCCTGGAGCCAGCTGTCAAGTAGAAAAGAGAGCAGAAGTAGGCCTGTGTCAGGGAAAGATTTCCTAAGAATGAATAATCAAAGGAGACTACTTATGGACTATGAAGTATGCTCCTCTCCTGTAGGAAAATACAATATTTTCCCTATATTTACTTGCACAATTTTCTTCAACAAGTTATAAGGCTATTAAAAATGACAGGAACACTGTAAATCTATAAAAGTAATTTATTTAGGAGTGTTACGCCTTTTTTTTTTTTTTTTTTTAAGATTAGGCCTTTCGTTTTGGAAATCCCAAATAAAGTTATCCTCAAGTCTGATCATTTGTGAATCCTTAGCCTCAGAATGGAGAAAACTTAAATTAGGTCTTTATTCTCACAACATATGCATGATCTGAAGCAAAAGTAGAAAACTTGGCTAAATATGGAATAAGTCTTCAGCAAACAAACATAAACTATATCCTGTAAAGGGATGGAGAGAGTAAATCTCTAGAAGTGAGCCTGAGAACTGCATCAAGGTTTCACCCACTGTTCACAAGGGACAACGAGTAGCCTCAACAATACTGAACTGTCCATAAAGAGACCCATGCAGGAGTACCTGGTGCTCACGAACGCGGACAGCACTCTTTTAAAGTTCAGAACGGCTTCCAGGGATTAACCCCTCATGCCCGGGAAGGCCAGACGGGCCTATCTACTAAACCTAGGCCGCCCGGTGTAGGGTTCCCGCCACCATCGCCACCGAGCCGCGGTCAGTCTGGCGCGAATCAGGAGCAAAAGCCCATTCTCCCGCAGGAGGCCCTACAAAAATGGCGTCGGCTCCACCCCAATGTGGCCAAACTGGGCAACAGGAGTTTACTTCCCAGCTCCTCTCCCGAGCTCAGAGTCGCGTGTGGGGCGCCCAGCCGCGGGCAGGTAGGGTGGGAAGGAAAAAGGGTCACTGCGACCTGGGTGACCTACAATCTACGGGCAGGACCTGGGAAACTCGGCCGAGGAGGGCCGTGGTCCGGGGGTCCGGGCGGCATTACCTTTATTCTTGGGCATGGCGGTGGCGGCGACCTCGCGGGGTCTCTGACTTCTTTCCGGGTAACGGCGACCGAGGCGGTTGCTGCTCCGAGGGGCGACACGAGGGAGTGCGCGGGACCAAGGAGGTGCTAGAGGCTAGGCAACGTGCGCGAGAGAGGATCGCAACCGAGCTCTTCAGAGATCCGCCAGCGTCCACGCTCGGCGGCAGCAAATGGCGTCGCGACTGCTTGCGTCGCTTTTCCCCGCCTCCCGTCGCCGGCTGGGCCCGCCCCCTAGGCTTTATGGCGCAGGCGTGGCCGACTGACCCCCATTGTTAGGGCCGAGGCAGACGCGTTCTGGGAGGGTGCGCAGCAAGCCGAAGAGGACGCGAGGGGCAGGGCCGCAAGCAGGGAAAAGGCGGAGTCAGGGAGGGCGGGGGAGAACCTCTGCGTCATAGAGAAGGGCGGTTTGAGGTGGTGCTCGCTGCTGGTTAAGGCCAGACCTCTGCTTCTTTGTAGCAAACGCGCGTCTCCCAGTTTGACAAGTGGTTGACTTGTTAACCTCATGGTTAGCTCAGTTTTAAAAATATATATATTTTTTATTTTTATTTTATTTTTTGAGACGGAGTCTTGCTCTGGAGTCGCCCAGGCTGGAGTGCAGTGGCGCGATCTTGGCTCACTGCAACCTCTGCCGCCCGGGTTCAAGCGATTCTCCTGCCTCAGCCTCCGGAGTAGCTGGGATTACAGGCACGTGCCACCACGCCCGGCTAATTTTTGTGTTTTTAGTAGAGACGGGGTTTCAGCATCTTGGCTAGGCTGGTCTTGAACTGCTGACCTCGTGATCCACCCGTCTCGGCCTCCCAAAGTGGCCTCCCAAAGCCACCGCGCCCGGCCAATATTTTAATTTTTTTATTAAGACGGAGTCTTGCTCTATCGCCCAGGCTGGAGTGCAGTGGCGTGATCACGGCTCACTGCAACCGCCACCTCCCGGGCTCAAGCGATTCTCCTGCCTCAGCCTGCCGAGTAGCTGGGATTACAGGCATATGCCACCATGCCCAGCTAATTTTAGTACTTTTAGTTGAGACGGGGTTTCGCCGTGTTGGCCAGGCTGGTCTCGAACTAGTGACCTCAACTCGCGCCTGCCTCGGCCTCCCAGAGTGCTGGGATTACAGGCGGGAGCCACCGCGCCCAGCCGGTTGGCTCATAACGCAACCTTTTCACTCGCCCAGCCGGGTTGGGAGCCTGATGGGAAGGGCAAGGCTTTCCTGTCATCCATTACCAAAGCATAATATTTGCATGGCACTTGTTATTACTCTAAAGAGTAATATTATTAATACTCTAAAGCAAATATTATGCTTTGGTAATTACTGTCTTACCTCACTGTAAACCTTACCGGGCAGAGACCATGTCTGTTGCTTACCATTACCCCCACTTAGCTGAATGTCTGGCACATAATAGGTGTTCAATACACACAGAAAGGAAGGGAGGGAGGGGAGAAAAGACTTAAGTTCAATGTTAATGGGCTGAATTGTGTTCCCCCCACCCAAAATTCGTATGTTCACGTTCTAATCCCCAGTAGCTCAATGTGACTGTATTTGGACATGCGGTCTTCAAAGACGTGATTAAATTGAAATGAGGTCATTAGTGTGGACCCTTATCTGACTGGTGTCCTTACAAGAAGATATTATTAGGTCACAGGCATCAAGGGAGAACACCACGTGAACAAGAAGGTAGCCATCTATAAGCCCAGGAGAGAGGCCAACCCTGTTGACGCTTGATTTTAGACTTTCAGTCTCCAGAACAATGAGAAAATAAATTTCTGTTGTTTAAGCCACTCAGTACGTGGTACTTTGTTATGACAGTCCTAGCAAACTAATACAACTGGCTAATGCTGGGCTGTACTCTACAAGCTTTATTTCTAAGTAAACTTAAACTGAGTAAACTTATTTTGAATAAATCACCTTCCCACAAACACCAGGGTTTGGACATACTTAGAAGACAGAAATAAAGTATCATCATCTAATACAGTGGTTCTCTTCTGGGAACATTTGGCAGTGTCAACCAGAAATGTTTCTGGTTGTCACAACTTGAGGAGGGGGGCAAAGCTGATGTTGAGAAACCCAATGACAGATACACTTCTTAGAGGGAAATTGAAAGATAATGGGGGACTCAAAGTTCTGGGTTTCTCTTTCTATTCGCAATATTTTTCAATTTACATAATTGAGGATGAAAGGATTTTTGTGAAATTTATTTAAATTTTGCTTCAAGGTCAAATAATGATGAACTTGAGCTTTGGAGTTAGAGAGATCTGGGTTCAAATTCAGGCTCTGCAGTAACTTATTACTCTATGTGCTTGGGCAAGTTTTAATATCTTTACAAGCCTCTGTTTTCTCATCTGTAAATTGGATGTAGGAATAGTACTAACCAGCCAGGCGCAGTGGCTCACGCCTGTAATACCAGCACTTTGGGAGGCCAAAGTGGGCGAATCACCTGAGCTCAGGAGTTCGAGACCAGCCTGGCCAACATGGTGAAACCCCATCTCTGCTCAAAAATCCAAAAATTAGCCAGGCATGGTGGCAGGCACCTATAGTCCCAGCCACTTGGGAGACCGAGGCAGGAGAATCACTTGAACCCGGGAGGTGGAGGTTGCAGTGAGCCAAGATCGTGCCACTGCATTCCAGCCTGGGCAACAAGAGTGAAACTCCATCTCAAACAAACAAACAAACAAAAAGAACAGTACTCACCACATTAGATTGTTGCAGAAATTACATTAATATAATGCATTCAATTAGCAATTGTGCCTAGTACATGATAGTAGTTAGACTCTAAGAGTCTTGAACTCTAAATGTTTAAAAATCAAAAGTTTCTGTCAATTACCCAGTATAAAACCTCAAAGGAGAAAAAAAAAAAAACCAGCTCAGGCTTCATTTCTCTACTGTAGGATAGTTCCCCCATCTGACTGATCATCTTAATCACTTGGAAGGAAGTGAGTCGTGTGGACATCTGGGGGAAATGTGTTCTAGGTAGAGAGAACAGCAAGGGCAAAGGCCCTGAGTGGGAGCATGCTTGGCATATTCAGGAAATAGAAAGAAGCCAGGTGCAGTGGCTTCCACCTGTAATCCCAGTGACTCAGGAGGCTGAGGTGGGAGGATTGAGCTTGATGCCAGGAGTTCGAGACCAGCCCAGGCAACATAGCGAGACCCACTCCCCATCTCTAAAAAAATAAACACATGAAAATAAAAAAAGCCAGGCATGGTGGTTCACATCTATAGTCCCAGCTACTTGGGAGGCTGAGGCAGGAGGATCCTTTAGAGCCCAGGAGTTTGAGGATGCAATGAGCTGTGATCGTGCCACTGCATTTCAGCCTGGGCAACAGAGGGAGACCCCATGAAAGAAGGAAGGAAAGGAGGAAGAAGGGAAGGACATAAATGAAGGAAAGGAAAGAAGGAAGGAAGGAAGAAAAGAAAGAAAGATCAGTGTGGCTAGAATGCATTGAACCAAGGGAAGAATTTGAAGAGATGAGATTGGAGAAGTAAGGAGGCCAGATCACTTGTAATCTTCAGTAGGTTTTTTTTTTTTTTGGAGATGGAGTCTTGCTCTGTCGCCCAGGGCCCAGGCTGGAGTGCAGTGGCACGATCTTGGCTCACTGCAACCTCTGCCCCCTAGGTTCAAGTGATTCTCCTGCCTCAGCCTTCCTAAGTAACTGGGATTACAGGTGTGCACTACCACGCCTGGCTAATTTTTGTATTTTTATAGAGATGGGGTTTTGCCATGTTGGCCGGGCTGTTCTCGAACTCCTGACCTCAAGTGATCCACCTGCCTCGGCCTGCCAAAGGGATGGGATTACAGGTGTGAGCCACTGTGCCCGGCCTTTCAGTAGGTTTTTAAATAGATCATTTTGGTTTCTGTGTTAAGAACAGACTGTAGGGGGCAAGGGTGGAAATGGAAACCACACAGGAGGCTACTGTAATAGTCCGAACGAAAGAGAGTTGTGGCTTGGATTACGGTATAAAGTTACTTTTTGGGATGTTGAGAATATTCTAAAATTACATTATGATAATGGTTGTACAACTCTGTAAGTACTATACTAAAAGACATTAAATTGCGGGCACGGTGGCTCACGCCTGTAATCCCAGCATTTTGGGAGGCCCAGGCTGGCGGATCGCAAGGTCAGGAGTTTGAGACCAGCTTTGCCAATATGGTGAAACCCCGTCTCTACTAAAAAATACAAAAATTAGGCGGGCGTGGTGGCGTGCACCTGTATCGCTGGAACCCATGAGCTGAGACCGTGCCACTGCATTCCAGGCTGGGCAAGAGTTCAATGCTGTCTCAAAAAAAAGAAAAACAGAACAACACATTAAATTGTACACTTTTTTTTTGTTTTTTTGAGACAGAGTTTCACTCTTGTCTCCTAGGCAAGAGTGCAATGGCTCAATCTCAGCTCACTGCAACCTCCGCCTCCCAGATTCCAGGGATTCTCCTGCCTCAGTCTCATGAGTAGCTGGGATTATAGGCTCCTGCCACCATGCCCGGCTAATTTTTGTATTTTTAGTAGAGATGGGGTTTCGCCATGTTGGCCAGGCTGGTCTTGAACTCCTGAGCTCAGGTGATCCACCTGCCTCGGCCTCCCAAAGTGCTGAGATTACAGGCGTGAGCCACCGTACCTGGCCTAGATTGTACACTTTAAATGGTAAACTGTATGGCATATAAACTATGTCTCAATAAAACTGTTAAAAAAAAGAAATAGGAGATGGATCAAATGACAAATAAAAGAATTGACAAATGGTACTGAGGGTTTAGCTGAGATTAGAAAATATAAATTTGCAGTGGTATCAGTTTGCATAATTATATGGTTTTCAAAACCGCCATTGCAAAATTGTAACTGAGACAATGAGATCTGACCTAACCAACTCCATCTCCATCTTGTTTCTTTTTTTTTCTTTTTCTTTTTCTTTTTGTTTTTGAGACGGAGTCTCGCTCTGTCGCCCAGGCTGGAGTGCAGTGGCGTGATCTTTGCTCACTGCAAGCTCTGCCTCCCGGGTTGACGTGATTCTCCTGCCTCAGCCTCCCGAGTAGCTGGGACTACAGGCGCCCGCCACCACTCCCGGCTACTTTTTTGTAGTTTTAGTAGAGACGAGGTTTCACCGTGTTAGCCAGGATAGTCTCGATCTCCTGACCTTGTGATCCACCCGCCTCAGCCTCCCAAAGTGCTGGGATTACAGGCGTGAGCCACCGTGCCCGGCCAACTCCATCTTGTTTCTAACCTCCACGCTATCCTT